ACTCTTTATTTTTCGATTCTACATTGTATGATTTGCGCGCTTTTTGTAACACTCCAACGCAACACGTTAGTTCACCTATCGTTCACACCTCTCTAAACATAATTTTATATTTGAGGACTTCCTTGACACCCTCCTATCCAAACCTCATCCGTCACACCTCATCCTTCTACACCTCCATCCTGTCTACATCCTCAGCCTATCTACACCCATCCTATCTACAGCCTCAGTCCCCTGTCACACTCATCCTATCACACCCACTATTACACCTCATCCCTGTCTACTTCTCATCCTATCACACCCATCCCGCACACCTCAGTCCTTCTACACCCTCATCCACTACCACCTCATCCTGTCTACAACCCATCCTATCTACACCGACAGTCCTATCTACAGCCTCATCCCCTGATCTACTTCCTCATACTTCTACACTCATCCTATCTACACCTCAGTCCACTACACTTCATCCTTCTACTCTCATCCTTCTACCCTCATCCTTCTTCAACCCATCCGTCTACACCCATCCTGTCTACATCCATCATCTACACCTCATCCTGTTCGACAGCCTCAGTCCTTCTACACCATCAATCCTGTCTACACCTCATCCATCTTTACTCCTCATCCTTTATACTCCTCACCCTCACCCACATCCTTTCTACACCTCGTCCTGTCTACACCCAGGCCTTCTATTCCTCAATGTGCCATCCCCATTTTTTTCACATAAATATTGACAATAATAAAATATTAAATAATAATAACAGACACAACAACATCTACCACCTCCAAATTGTTATGATATTCTTCTCTGTATTCTCTATCTTTTGATATCCTCAACTTTAATTCTCACACACCTTTTAATTTACTGACCACAAATAAACTGAATAATTAATTAACCCTTTATTGGAGTCTTCTCCCATTTGGAATCACTTTTATTGACTAAACTGAAATACCTCCTTTGTTTTACCCTTTCTCCACACCCTGCTCTCAACCTTTTGTAACCCACCACAAAAAATTTGTCCCTAACATCTAAAAAATCTAAAAAAGAAAAAATACACTTCTTTCTCAAAATGACCATTAAGTAAAGTACTCTAGTTCCTCATCTAACCCCTCGCTCTTTCTTCATCCATAACATATAAATTATTCACCCACATACACTCCCACATAAAACCAGTCACTCTCTACCAAACCTGAACTGAATCACCACTCATCATCTCCTTAAATCAAAAACACAATAGTACTAAAACAACACACTGACTCACCGCATTTCTCTGTCCCAAAGCCTCAAATATTTTCCATTTCTTCCTCTTCCATCATGTAACTAAACTTCGTTATCCAACACCATCTTTTTTGTCTTATCCAATACATTCTACTATAAGAATGATAATACACCACTCACACACACACACATGATCCTTTAATCTATTGACTCATACCTACCTTCCCACTCAACCAATCCCATCCGTCTCATCTCATTCACTCTCCTTTAAATAAACCATCGTTTTTTGGTCATTTCAAAAAACTCCGTACTCCCATCTCAACTACATACTCAATAGCGAAGTTGGAGGAACCCTCATCACGAGGCGTTGTTCACAAGCATCACTTATAAGCGACACGTACTCACCCAACTACTCACAATGAGATTCCATGTCGAACATCAATGCGCTTTCTTCACAGACACAGAGCGGCCCCGTACATTTTTCTGCGTTCAACATTTACATAAAATTGTAAAATATATATATACTGGAACCCTCAAGATCCCCAATACTAGACTTTTAGAGACTTCTGTCTTCTTATACTCCCCCCCAACATAAACAAAAAAAATTAAGTTACACATTCGTCAACATGTTTTTTTTCAATGAAATAAAAGTAGATATGTTAAATTTAATGTTTTTCAAACAATTCACACAATTCATAAATAAACAAATTACAACATTAAAATCAAACACCATAATAAAATAATCACAAAACGTATAATGATAATCTCATTTTCATCATCCGAACTTTTTAACCTATTTAAAATCAGAGAAATACTTCTAACATTTCAGAAACTGTCCAGAATTTAGCATCAAATCTAAACGCTGCCTTCCTAATTTTATTCCTGTCATCCATTTCTCCTCTTTTCTCTTATGCACCAAATATAATTACAAAACATCTCATAATAATATCACACTTGTTTATTAGATAAGATAATATTCCTTCTTTCTCCCACAATGCAACTCAGCATTTTCATGTACATCTACACACAGAAAACCGCAAACCTGTAAACCTCATTAATTTATTTGCACACTCATTGATATCTACTGTAAAACAACACTAACAATTCCCCTTGATAATTTTTAAGCATATGTTGTATAAAACAGACCTTCAGACACTCCCCATTTTATAACGCCACTCCCTCCCACATGCTACTATATCATAAACAATCAATTATTTATGCATACCTCATAAATCGCATTTGATGACCGCATCAGCATTTAATTCAAATACCACACGATTCAACCACTCAACGCGTGCACAAGCTACCGAAAGAACCCCCCTTCAAAATAAAAGTCTCATTACAGCTCACCTCTTTCCTTTAATAGTATAATCTTCTGTTTTTCAATTTTCCTCAATCCTCTACAAAAAATCCGTTCGATCCACCCTCCGTTCTAATTTGCATTCTCCCCATTCTTATTCCGCGCACTAAAAGTCCTATACATACTCTTCTTTCTTTATCCTTTCCTCTGCACTGCTTAATCCCAATTTCCCTCTCCACGTAAACTTCCTCCAGCTCATCTGTAACCTTACTTCTTCCATCCCACACTCCTTCTTCCCACCCGTCTCCTCCCCACACCTTCAAATAAACCAAAATAAATCGATTAATTTCCATCCACTATTATTTTTATAAAATTACTATAAAACTAGACTTTTATAAAGTGAACACAAAATAATATAATTGACCGACCAATTATTTCTTCCTAAAACTCCAACTAAAACTCTGAAAAAAACCACAGAAAATTAATATCTTTGGCATGCTATTTAATGTTTCTAACTAATACTTTTTACTTATAAAACATATTAAACTCGCAAGCAAAGAACTATATTTTATTGCTTATTTTACTTATTACAAACGTTTTTATATACAACCTTTTAAACCATACAAAGTATTTTTCCTTATATTTATAGAAAAGAAATATCCTAGATAAATAAATATTAAATACATCTATTAAAATTATTTTAGCCCGCTCTCCACCATGCATCCGTGCGAACTTCCACTCAAGTGACGCAAAACCGTCTATTTATAAGTCATCCTTCTACACATCAGACACTGCGCACAATCCCTCCAATCACCTCCACCCATCGTTCACTCATCCATCTCTCCCCATAACCGAGAGCGTATCGTCCCTGATCTCTCCCCCCGTCCGCCTCATCCCTCCTCCACACTTATTTGAACAAGAATTCATTATAATAAATATTACAAACACTGACCATCCAAAGCATGAACACGTAAAACGTACAAAACACCGAAATGCACCCATAAAAACAATCTCCCGGCCAGAAATTCAAAAATCCCGATCTACACTTCTATGACCCCAAACAAAATATACGAATCATTTTAATAAGTGTCAAATCCCGATATGCCTAACTTCATTCTTTGTTTTTTTTGTGTGTCTGTTTGTTTGTGTTTTTTTTTATATCATTTTGTTCATAAAGCTGGAAACAACTTTACATAACACTAAACTCACGACAATCAATTGACGCTTTTTTACTAAATATTCAGCTATTTATATTTTTTTTATTTCATCTCCATCAAATACACTTAAACAATAACTAAAACTAAAGAAAAAGCAGACAAAAAAATCTATCACAAACAACTGAACCTAATTTCTCTAACCCGACTATCACTCCATTTTTTTTGTATCTTCAGACTTTTTGATTTTTTTTTTTTCATTATTAGTTTATTTCTTATATTTATTAATTATCTAATTTACTTAATTTCCAATGTAACGTATAAACGACCGCTAGTACCTTACAACGTCGTTAACTGCACCATAGCATTACCTTTCAACAAACCTTTTCTTTTCTGTATTTTCAACTTATATTCTACCTAAGTCTAATATTCAATTCATTAAATTAATGTATAAAATTAGATTAAACTTTATTTCATTACAAATCTGAACATACAACGAAAATTAAAACGAGACCAGCAATAAATCATATTTACAACACAGATGATATTTATCAGCATATAATGAAATTACAAAAAATGATCTATATCGTCCTAAACACAACAGTAAGTATCTCAAGAACTTTACTTCAATTCTCCAACAAAAAAAAAAACAAAATCATACATTCAACAAAAGAAATCAATAAAACAAATAAACAAACAACTCCCCCCATCAAATTTTATAAATCACTTATAACTGTCACCTAAACTTTTCTCTTTCATTAATTCATTTTTTTCCACAAAAAAACTTCATACAATTCATCGATTAACTACTAATTTCCTCTTTGCTACTATCTATAGTTTCCTCTCTCTCTCGTTTTCTTCTGAAACTATTCAAACATTGACAATAAAACATAACATCTTATTATTAAAAATTTTTTTTATTACATATTATTTTTGTATAATGAGTAGCCCCACTTTAAAAGAATATACTTATTAAAACCTGTCCCACTTACCTAAATCTACTTTCCAATCTACTTTAATATTTATCTCACAAAACAAACAGCTATTAACTCCATACAAATTTATTTTACTGCATAATAAATAAATAATTAGAATA